CCATTAAACAATTGACGAGGTACTTATTGATTTCGAATTGAGTGATAAAGTCACTTTTTACATTAAATGAAAAATATTTAACATTAGCTGCATCGGTTTTTTTAAAACGCTTGATTTTTTTTTGAAAACACTGATCAGAATGGTGTTCTGCTTTTTTGCAATTATTATCAGATCGTTTAAAACAATTTCGGTTTATGTGCCCCTTTTTGCCGCAATTATAACATTCTTTTTTGTCATCGTTTGTAGGATAAGGGCTTTTATTTATATTGTGAATTGCTGAAATTTCGGTTTTTGATTTGTGAAAACCATTCAAAAGGTCAACTAAATCAATTATCGATGTCGGATTTCTGTTTAAAGCAGCACTTTTGACAGTAACATGAGCTATATCGCCAATAACAATTTCTAACAATTGTGATTCGGATAAATTAAAATTTAAAGATTTCAGTAAACTTATCTTTTTCCTGGCATACTCGCTATATGACTCGGCAGTTCGGCTGGTGTAAAGGCTAGCGTTGCGTAGCTTCTCGTTGAGATTTTTCTTTGCAGGAAACAAGTTTCTAATTTCGGTCTCAAAGATGTCCCAATTTTTCTCGTCGGGATGCCAAACGGAGTACCAGTCTTGAGCTTCACCTTTGAGACTTGTGGCCCGCATCAACATCTCATACTGTTTCCAATTAAAAGTTGAACCGAATTTTTCAATTTCTGAACACCAAAAAAGCAGCTCCTTTATCGTCGATTTTTGGGTCGTACGTAGGAATGTTGATGGAAGTGGATGGACCAGAAGCACGATTTGTTTGTTCTTGCATTTCTTTCAACACACTCGCTAACACTTCTGTTAATTGTTCCATTTTATTGTTTTTAATCACTTTTTGATTATGAACGACACAACCGACACTTAAACTTAGTCTGCCTTTATCTGTTTTTTTTAATAATATTAAGGTCCGTGTACTCACGCGTTTTTCTTTGGGCTTTTCTTTTTTTTTCTGATTTTTGGATTTTCGAATCCCACTCCTGATGTGAGATTTTTTTTGTTGGGAAATCTCGAGTTTGCTTTTAATAACAATTAATAATCCAAATTGCCGTTTATTAACTTTAATTATGAATGCTTACAAAATAGGTTTACACCTGGCAAAAGCTTATTAGAGAATGTCCTCAAACAAAAGAATAATTGAACTAGTCGGTTTGCTTCATTTGGTCCGGTAGTGCCCCGGGATTTGAGTCGTATGCCGGCTGGTCGACGCCGAAACCATAACATAAACAGGTGAAATGATAAAGAGTTTGTGAGAATACTCACATACACAACATAGACAATACTTATTAATGTTCTCTAATAGGTATGTTCTTGTAATAAGAAAGAATAAATTAATGTACTAAACAGTCCTTTTCCTTTCTCTATCAAAATTATTGGATAGACACCCAGAGGTACCTAGTCTTGATGAAATAAAAATCAAATACTGACTAGACTAGAGGTAAGAAACAAAAAAATTGGGTTGTCTTTATCTACTTCGTATATTATCGGCAGATAATTACTCATTAGTTTTCTAAATATATACTTATATGTAGCAATGACGTCACTCGCTTCTATGCAAGATCAAACTTGTTAAAAAGTATTCTCTTCAACTCCCCACTCTTTTATTTCAGCCAGGGTATATATATCTTTGCACGGCATCCCACAATTAGTTTACTTATCAACGAGGTCTTGTGAGCAGTTCTCAAGTTATCAATAATAATAAAAATGGAATGCAACCAGATTTCTGCTTGGAATTTAAAACAACTGTCAAAGGTGTATATACGAAAGTTCAGCAGTCACCTATTAAAGTATCAACTGCAGTTTGATAATGAAGGAGGAAGGATTGGCGCGGGATTAATAAACTATGAAAAAGGTTCCCTGAATAAAATAATAGATGAAACTATAGACCGATTAAAAACAGATGTTAGCTATTCCCCTGGTGATAAAATGCGAATAATCGCTAACAACGAGGGTTTCAAGCACCCCATCTCTACAACAACTGATGCTGATATTTCGGCAACTAGCATTCTCGACCAAGTCGAGAAGATTGTGACGTCGAACGAAGAGATCGATGTTTTGGCTACAAAGTTTGACATCCAAATTTTTAAAATGCCTCGTGGTACTGGTCGCGTGAAAATGATAAATTTGAAACAGAATTCTCATACAAAGCGTAGCATTATCGCCATAATAAATAACGACAATCTGTGTGGCGCTAGGGCCGTCATAACAGCTCTAACGTACCATACAAATACATTTTTAGGATTACGGTTAACACCTTTAAATATTAAACACATAAGAGGAGGGCGCAATATCCAAAAAATTGCGGCACAAAGATTATGCGAACTATTGGGTAGATCGTTTGAAAGTGGATTTTCTTTGGCGGACTTTCGACAAGTGGAACAATTTCTCGATATACAAATTAAAATGGTGTGTGCCGAAAATTTTAATAGCGTTATTTATTCAGGTCCCGAAAAACCAATCACGTTGTATTTGTATAAAAACAAAAACCACTACGATGTGATCACTAGTATGACTGGCTTTTACGGACGTGTTTACTATTGTAAGAAGTGTGACACTTGTTACAATAATAAAGGCATGCACACGTGCAAGGAGACATATATCTGCACGATATGTAAACAGCCATCTCACGATTCAGCGACCCGAAATAAAATTTATTGCAGTAATTGTAATAGATATTGTTTTAATGATGCTTGCAAATATAAGCATTCCGTTGTTTGTGTAGCAATTTATAAGTGTTTATCTTGCAATAAACTTTGCTATCGTCAACAACCGCATCAGTGCGGTTTTACAACATGTAAAAACTGTAAAGAATTTGTCGAGACGGCCGAACACCATTGTTATATTGTAAAAAAGAATAGCAAGGGTGGGATTTGCGATGTATCGTGTACATGTACCAACCGCGGTAGCGATCGTAATAAGGGTTGTCTATACAACAAAAATGAACGTGTCTGTAATGCACCATGTATTTGTAACGGTCGCACCGAAATGAAGATCCAACAGTGCACTTACACGACCAAATATATTTTCTTCGACTACGAGGCGATGCGAAATACAGGTGTGCACATACCTAATTTGATTATAGCCCGTGACTTTGCCAAGAACAAATACAGTTTCAATAACAATTCTGAATTCTGTGAATGGTTGATCGCCGAGAAGTACAAGGGGTACACAGCCGTTGCTCACAATGCTAAGGGTTATGACTCATATTTTATACTTAAATATTGTGTGGAAAACTCTATCAAGCCATTCACTATTTACAATGGAACGAAGCTAATGCTACTGGAAATACCGCAACTTCAACTCAAAATTATAGATAGTTCTAATTTCATTGAGGGGCCCTTGGCAGATTTTCCTAAAACTTTCGGTCTGAAGGAACTGAATAAGGGGTACTTTCCGCATTTGTTCAACACTGCCGAAAACCAGAATTATATAGGCAACCTACCAGACATCAAGTATTATGGACCAGACATAATAAAACCGAAGGAGCGACAAGTATTTTTGGAATGGCATACGTCCCGAATAAATGAAAACTATGTATTTAATTTTCAACGAGAACTGCACGACTATTGTGATTCCGATGTGGATATTCTCAGAAGAGGCTGCTTAGAATTTCGAAAGGAGTTTATGGAGATCGCTAATATTGATCCCTTGCAGTACCTTACGATAGCGAGTGTGTGCATGGCTATTTACAGATCAAAATATATACCACAAAAAACGATTGCCGTTGTAGAGGAAAAACCGAAGGACACATACAGTCGAGGTTCGATAGCGTGGCTGAGTCAGTTCGGTAATGTGCGTCACGCCCTAAACGGCGGTGAAGTAACGATATGCGGTAATAAAGTTGACGGTTATGATAACGTCACAAATACAGTTTATCAGTACCACGGGTGTTTTTGGCATGGGTGTCCCAAATGTTATCGTCCCACTAGAATTAATCGTGTAAATCACGAAACAATGGACGATCTGTACGAGAAAACACAACGTCGAAGTCAACAACTGAAGCATGCCGGGTATTCGGTCGTGGAGATGTGGGAATGCAACTGGCTCAAATCAAAAGAGTACAAAACCGTCAAAAATGTAAATATTGATGACGAACCGCTCAATCCGAGAGAATCATTTTTCGGAGGACGTACTAACGCGGCAAAGCTAAAGGTCATCGACAAGAGAATACAGTATATTGATGTGGTTTCTCTGTATCCCACCGTTCAATATTACGACCCTTTTCCCATAGGACACCCTACTAAAATACGTAGGCCGTCTGAATATGATCTCACATGGTTCGGTTTGGTAAAATGCAAAATTTTACCTCTACGAAAATTATATCACCCTGTATTACCTATAAAGACCGACAAATTAGTATTTACGTTATGTCGTAAGTGCCTGCACCACCACCAGTCAGAGAAATGTGAACATACCGAGGAAGAAAGAACGATCACGGGATGTTGGACAACGCTGGAAATAAAAAAGGCTTTAGAAAAGGGTTACGTTATACGGGAAATTATTGAAGTATGGCATTTCCCTGAACAGTCTACGAACTTATTTCGAGAGTACAATTACGAATCGAACGAGGCATACGCTCGTATCATTAAAAAGCAGACGGGTATAGAGCTGGACTTGGATAAAATTGGAGTTAATCCGGGAAGAAGAGCCATTGCGAAGATATGTGTGAACTCCTTGTGGGGGAAATTCGGACAGAGATTGAAAATGAGTCAGAGCGAATTCGTTACTGACCCGAAGAGATGGTACGAAATACTGCTAGATGACAAAATACACATTTCAAATTGTATATTTGTAAATGAGGACGTTGTCCATGTGACATACAAATATAAAGACATGTTTGTAGAAGACTCCACATCCACCAACATATTCATAGCGACATTTACGACAAGTAACGCTCGTCTAAGACTGTACGATATGTTAGGTAGGCTGGGCGAGGATGTTGTCTACTACGATACAGACAGCATAATTTATATTGACAATGGTCAGAATACCGTATCGAAGGGGTCTATGCTAGGTGAATGGAGTAGTGAATTGGCGGATGGGGACTATATTATTGAATGGATGTCGACGAGACCAAAGAGCTACTACTACAAAACATTAAAGGGTATAGAAGTCACCAAGATTAAAGGTTTTACCCTTAACTACAAGAATGGTCTAAAACTCAATAGACATGCTTTCAATGATATCATTTCGGGTACGTCAAAAGAAGTGGTTCTGGAATACGACCAAATTACCAGAGATGCCAAAACGAAAGAGCTAATAACGCAGAAGCGCATTTCAAAGGTGTTTAGGATGGACTATAAAAAACGAAAGTTTGAAGGACCCCTTCAATATGACACAGTCCCTTGGGGATTTTGATTTTTGAACACTAATTTGTGTATGATTGTTTCAATATTGCATTTTTAATTCAACAACCACATTTGTGACAATAACTTCCGTTGTATAATGTAATACACTGCTAATAGAAAATTTATAATTTGTATATCATGTATTTAATTCAAGTACACAGCGTATCCTTATTTACTGTTTGTAACATTTTGTACATTTTGTATAGGTATTGTAAAGTGTACAGTAATTAACTGTACGTTACACGTAAATTAAAAGGATAATTTTGATGTAACTGTTTGAAATAAAACTTGTCGTGAAAAAATGAAGTCGTGTGTTTAACGACTTATTTACAAATGTATACAAAGGAACCGAATAAGCTAGTTAACGTATCGAAGTGTGTTGCTAGTATATTTCTGTACCACTTAACGACCCATTTAAATACATTTTGCACCCCCTGAAGAGAGGGCGGATGAACAAACTGTCTCCAGTAAACAACCATGAACTTTGTTCCTAAAGAGGACAGATATTCTGACCGGAAGGGTCCTGCAGATTAATAAATATTTAAAAATAGGCACAGCAAATGTTTCTAACAAATGTATCATTAAAGTAAAGTATTTCTAGTAAACTCCAGTAGTACATTGAAATATATCATAAAAAGAATTCTGAACAATTATGGTCAGAACAGGTATATTTCTTATTGCAATTCCAATTTATAATAAATAACAGGGTTCATAGACTTGGTATTATTCCAATGAAATACGGTAACCTATTAAGAGTTGCTTAATGTTGTTCGAGATCTGTTCAAATCTGTTCGAGATCTCTTCAAAGCTGATCGAGACCTGTTCAGAGAGACCTGATCAAAGAGTATCATACCATTTACGATGTCTAAATAATTCTTTTCATTCAATTCATTATACTGACTTGATTCAGGTTTTTTTCGATAAAATTAACTCTGTTATTCATATGCTTTGTCGTTTATAAAAAAAGTTGTTTTGATAATGTAAAAAGGCGAATTTTCAATTTTCCATGAATTATCGGAGATACTGAAATGTGGTCCGTATTTGTAATCAATTTGTCATTAGAAGAGCCTGTATAAAGGTATCAGTTTCGCACTGAGAACTCCATTGAGGTGCCATTTTCATTTGTTCAGAATTCTCCAAGGATGATGATGAATGATTGTCAGTAGTTTCATTATCGTTATCGTCGGAATCCTCTTCTTGTACCATACTAATTTCGTTTCCCTTGCATCCTGATATTCAGCTGAGATGGTACCGTTGTTTAATAAATAACCGAAATCAGATGTGTTTTGTTTTAGTTCTGGTTTACTTAAATTTTCTGTTAATAATGAAAGTATTTCTGCTAGTTTCTCTCAAAGTTTCGTAATAGGTTGAAAAAGTCGTTCCAACTGAGACTTCGTTGACTCTTAACGTTTCGTATTCTTTTAATTGTATTTCGAGTTGGAATTGTCTTTAACCAATTTCTCGTTCATAACATTTTACGTTATACTTAAAACATAAACAATGAAGATATTTGAATAGCATTTCGGACTGAGGATGGTGTGTCCATCTAGTTCTGACCATCTTCAAGATCATTCATCTTCTTCATGGGCGTTTAATGCTGCCATCAATCAATAATTAAGTAAAAGTAATTTAACATATTATACACACGATAATTTTATTGTGATGATAATATTGTTAAGTTATTATTTCCATAGGAAGGATATTATTTGTAAGAAATATTTAAACTAAACATGAGTGAATTTATTTGATTAATTGACAAAACAAATTATTTATTTATATAGATACACACACTGTGATCTATAATATCATTAAAAATAATAAATGCAATTAGCGTGACGTGCGTATTTGACGGAATGATTTGAATCCAACAAGTATAATTGACAATTTTAAATTTATCCACCAAAAGCCAAGTAAGCCATATGAATTTCGAGACACATGTTTCCTTGTTGTTATGTACAACGATAATGCACGGCCGTAGCTAGGAGGGGAGCATTGTGGAGCAATGCCCTACCTTAAAAATACCAAAAATATATATGAACTTTTTGTATATATGGTGATTATAGGATGTAGCACTGCACTGTGCGAATGTACGTTTTCAACTTTGACTGCAATCAGTAGGCCTCAAAGGCTGTCAATGGGTCACGAGAGAATGGATGGTTTTGTTGTATCCCGCGACTATGTCGCGTTCTTAAATTGGGCTGTACACGCTCACTTCCAAGCAAATAAACCAGTACACACTTTTTGAGAACAATTTTATTCCTTATTACTTACACTTAATTTACACTTAACACTTAACATAAAATAAATGTTTGCTATTTACTCGTATATAGTGTTAATTGTATTTATTGCTGCATTTATATTTTGTTATTAAATTAGTTAATATTATTTTTGTTTGTTTTTTTTAAATTTCCAATTAAAACAAAAAAAATTAAAATTTGGTGTAATTTTGAAATGCGCGCCTTAAGTTACGCTTCATAGTTTTATGTATTGATGGCAGTGAAATTCGAAGTTTTCTTTGTCAGTACCATTTATATATATATCCCAAGTATCGTCTACCAATGTGGGGTAAACTTAGATGTCACTGGTATCGTCAAAATCTCGCGAGTTTTACATCTATTTCCTAGTCTAGGATTATGATCAATTTTTTACTTTTGCTCTACCTGTAACCAATGCTGCCCTACCTCAAATTAGACTTTAGCTACAGCCCTGCGATAATGCATATCTGTGATAATTACGTATACAGATTTCAACATTTCAATTTTATTCCTTATCGCATCCCATTTGTTCACAAATTATGTAATTACTATCGTTTTCTGTCTCTATGTATTAATATATATATAATACTATATCTGTATATGTGTGATTGCTAAAGGTGTTTCATTCACTTTTAACCATACATACACACACCGTCTCTTAACATGGTAGCCCCACTCCAAAAGTGGTCTGAAGTGACCCATATACTACTAATAACTTCTTTAAAATACTTCGAATTAGGTGATCCCACATCAATATTTTCAACATTCATTTGTCGATCGCTTTCCCGACGCGGTGTTTGTTTGTTTTCCGCCTGAAGACACGTTCGCGCAAGATGTCCAGTTTTCCACAACGAAAACACCCAGAACTTACATCCGATTTTTGATTACAGTCACGCGCAAAATGTCCCGCCCGATTGCATCGAAAACAAACAACATCCCTTGAAAATACTACAAATGGCGCAATAAACGCCATCCGTAGCACGATGTTACATTTTAGGATTACGTAGCTCCAACAAGGTCCACTTGTGTGGATATCTACTTGCTTAAAACGAATCCCGGCGTAACCAACCTCAACGTGATAGGCACGTTAGCTTAATCGAATAAAATAATTCGAAGTGGTCTGTATTCTGTCGAATCTGCCAGACGCGGATTGCGATTTCGATCTTTTTGAATCTCATCAGCGCGTCGCATCCCTTGAACTTGAAATTTGACGGTGTCGGCAGGTTGCTCCTCGGTGCCCTCGTTTTTGGTCGGGAGACCCTCTCGGTTCCTCTGGATTTTGGCAGTCTGTCTGGTTGTCCCAGTTCTGTCCTCGTTGCCTCTTTGGGTCGGGAGACCGTAGCATCAACTATCACCTTTTTGTGAACTCACTTTTGGGTTGTTCCAAATTTCACTCTGGACGTCGCGGGTATGAGATCACTTTGTCGGATGTACGCTTGCGAAACAGGAAACTCACCGAAAATTCGGTCACGACTGCGTCAGTTTTGTTTCAAGTCCTCCGAAGGTTGTTTTTAAAAATTTATTTATTTTTGAAAAACGTTGTGGGGACTGAGAAAGGTTACCAAATTTGTCAGTGAGTTCACGTTTTATTTACTTGTACATTAATACTCGATATAAGCGTTAAATGTTACAAAGTAAAAAGGATGTAGGTTCGCACGTCTGAATGGTAAGACGCGTTGGTAACAAATCTAAAGATTTACATTCAAAGAACAATAAAGAAAACTTAAATGTTAATCGTGCAAAATTGCAGTTTCCCAGTACAGAGTCGTTATCAGGGTTCTAGCGTATGAGCAGACTTGCGTCAGCATATTTTTATGTATGTGGCGAAAGAACTCGTATTGTTTTTTTTTGTGTATATATATTTTTTATAATTTTATTTCTTTTATCATGCTTAACATTTCTTCAATGTAGATTTCGACTTGTTATCTTCTGCATGCCTTTGTTTCCTTTCTATTTCTATTCTATTGTCTCTAATCACCTTTATCTAGAAATCAAACTTCAACCGTTTCTGCATGCACCTCTTACTAATAGCTGCCTTTTCCCTTAATTACCTTACCTCAAATTCTATACTGTTCAACCTCTTCAATTCTACGTATTTCTGTAAGCTCGTGTCTTCAACCCCTATTGCCAGTCTTTGTCTATCTTGAGTATTCTATCTCTTTTTATTAACATTTTCCTACTACAAATACTCCTAATATCCCTATTAATTTTAATTCATCTGNAGCCTTTTCCAATTCAATTTCCTTCCCCTCGTTTTTCTTATTCCTATTCAAAAACATTTTTAGCTTATTTTTATAACACATGTAAACAATAATCAATATAATTACGATTATTAATATAATAATAATGGCGGTATGCGCACTAAACTCGTATACACTTTCACTTTCTCGCACTATTGGATCTGCACAATGTAATGTTGATTTGGACAATTGGTCCAACCGTATTGCTTTTAAATTAAGCTGTATTGGTTGCACATTTATTACATCGTCTATATTCGGGGGTAAATATACAGGCGTTTCTTGTATGATGTCTTGCAGGTTGACATATTTAAAGTTTTCGGCTACGAAAGAGCAAGAATAACGTAAATTAATCAAAAACGTACCTCGTAGTCTATGTACCTCTTCTAATTTGCATTGTACATGTACTAGAGTATTTCGCGGTAACATTAAAATATATTTTCCATCATTTAAAACTTCTACCAATTGATCAGTTATAGCTACTGGAATTTATTTACATTTTGGTTCTTTTTTGAATA